GCACATATATATATATATATATATATATATTGCGTTCTAATCCTACACTCGCACACTTACACACACCGAATATGTAAATCCCTACCCACCTTGCGCTCCATGTAGTATTCAACCAGCACATCTCTGCTGCCTGGTGCGCGTGCTTCGTACTGGTTTTCCATTCGGTTAGACGCTATGCACAGCAGTGTGATAGGAACAGTCTGGAAAGCAAAATTCGTCATCTTTGCCCACAAGGTGTAGAAACCCTGAAAAATACAAGACAGGCGTGTGAGAGTTTGTTGTGATAATGGACAACTGTGAGCATATCAAGTAAAGTAATGCCGGTCTCGGAACACAGAAAAGACGAAAATCGGATAAGCGATCCAACAGATTCAATTAGGATAGTCCCAATTCCACATGAAATATGCATAATCAGATACATCAACATCTTGTTCGTATAGGCTCATCCCCAAAAAAAAATTCTTTTAGGTTTAGGTTCTAGGGTTTACATACATATGCACACCTTAGTACAATGAACCATGTTTTAGGGTTTAGGGTTTACATACATATGCACACCTTAGTACAATGAACTATGTTTTAGGGTTTAGGGTTCTAGGGTTTACATACATATGCACACCTCACTACAAAGAACCATGTTTCATGATCCATCCTTATCCACATCCCACAAACCCAACTCACCAGCGCGGCGAAATCGTGGAACACAATGGCCTGGAAGGTGTGTTGGCGCTGCAGGATCCAGTGGTATACTGAGTACGAGCGAGTCATGGCTTTACTACCGTAGGACTTCATGGGATAAGAAGCCTCGTACAAGGGCTCGAGAGTGATCCCAATCTTCAGCAATTGCGTCATTTGTCTGACAACAAGGGCCTTGTACTCCTTCTCGCTGGGCATGACACTCAGCAGAGTCACAGTGTACCCCCGCCGCGTGTAGGATTCGGCCTGGCGTAGGATGACTGCGATGGGTGTATATGATGTGGTGCAAGTGAGTTCAAGTATATATATATATATATGCATATATATATATATATATGACATATGTATGTATGTATATATATATATATATAGTAGTAACTAAATATA